GGCATAGGCGCACATGATGCGTGTTTATGTTAATACGCGCAAGCATGGTGGGTGGGGGCTTTAATAATTTTTACTTTTATTTAATTATGTTTTTTTTGTTTTGAACCTTTTTTTTTTTTACTTAATTTTTACAAGCCCTATGTGATGGCATATCAGTGGTTCTCTTTAATCAGGAGTCCGTTATCACCTTTCCACTCCAAATAACATATTGCCCGCAGATCACACTCCAATAGCTTATTGCCCAGCTTCTGCGGCCGAGCAATGACAGCTCAGGAACCGGAAGTGATGCAATCAGGGTCGCTTCCAGTTGCATATGGTGGGGAGGAGATCGGTGAACGGATGTTCGTCGGTCTCCTTCCTAGCTTCCCTCTGACGCCCAACATGCCGGTCCTGGGCCCGCAGGAGGGACAACGTAGCCCGGGAAACTGCCAGGAGTCTGTTTGAACAGACCAGCGACACACACACTAAAACGTTGACTGAGCGTGCAGACTAATGTGATGAGGGAGGTCACTGTTTACTTTATTTGAAGTGTACATTCCATTTAGGTCTCCACATAGAATCCATCCAGCACGCTGCGAAAAAATGCAGCATGTCTTCATTTTTTTTGCACTGCATATCACACCCACGTTGTGTTGTGACTGGAGCCAGAACATAGGAAACATTTTGGTGCTGGCATTTAATCAGTTGCTAAAAAAACGACAGTCACTGCAAACGGTTTGCGTTTACCTGCGTCAAAGTGCACTAAGCTTAGAGGAAATCGAATTCTGTGCATCTAGGGTTTGATTAGATTCTCTAAATGCACATTAAAACCCAGGATTCATTGATCTGGGAAGTATAATGTTTATTTATTATTTAAATGCAGGAGGCCCGTGTTTAATAAAGGCTTTAAATGTTTAATTAATGCACACCAGAGCAATGAAAAATGCTGCTGTAGCAAAATATAACTGGTAATTAGTATAGTGGTTTTAAATGAGTGCTAATTATAATTTGAGTCATCTCACATATATATGCTAATTTACATTTAAAGAGTACCTAAACTATGGAAGCTGTGGCAAAAAAGGCAAGCAGAGGGCAGAAGACTAGCCATCAGTGTGTCCTGTGGGCCTTTCGAAGCTGATCTGTATTCTGCACTGTGTCTATATGTAAAGGTGGTAGAAGCAGGGCTTTGCTTCCTCATGTCGGAGCCTCCAGCAAGGATAACAGTGAGCAGCAAAGTAATGACATCACCGAATCTTACTCCAATTCTCCTGAGAGTAGCAGTCAGAAGCAGAAATGCCTAAGGCCTTATTCACACCGAAAGCGTGTGCGTTCCAGAGCGGTAGCTGCTGGAACGCACCGCGATCGCTGTGAATCTTCCCCCCGCGTTTTGGGCAGGAGGGGGCATGGCGGTGCATTGTATTCAATGGCACAGGTTCCACGTCCCCCCCTGCAGTGCGATCGTACGCGTGGAAAACAAAGTTTTGCCACGTGTTCGATCGCACTGCTAGCGGGGGGCGTGGAAGCGGTGCCATTGAAAACAATGCACCGCCACGCCCCAAAACGCGCGCGGGCGGGGGGAGTTTCACAGCGATGCGTTCCAGCAGCTACCGCTCTGGAACGCACGCGCTTTCGGTGCGGTGTGAACAAGCCCTTAGATGTCACACTGTAGATATACAGATATATGGGGATATGCACAGAAGTACATAGGCATTTTTGCATTCCAGGAAGATCACTGCTATTTTTTTTTTTCTTCTTTCAGGAGAAATTTTAAGACAAAAGGAAAATTTTTCGGGTACTGCTTGGGCTCAATTGGCATTTATAAATGTTCACCATAACATAGGAAACATTCCCTTTTTGAGTTCAAGTCCACTTTAAGAGTCCATTCACACCAGAACTTTATTGAAAAGTCTCAAGTGACATTTCATTCAGTTCTACAGGCACAGTCGGATGTGAGGTGGTTGTTCCATGTTGCATCCAGCTGCGCTGATAAAGGTAAGACATGCCGTACTTTTTTTCAGAGTATACCACTGTGTTACCACCGCAACACGGTGGTGTGAATGGTGCCCATCCATGACAAGGCAATTATGTCATCATTCTTTTGATGCTCCTTCAGTCCATTCACAGGCTGTGGGTGTGGAGGTGACTTAAAGGAGAACTATGAGGTGAGTGCTTTTCACTCATCCTCCTAGTTCTAGCCGACCTGTGACAATGAGACTGTCACAGGTCGGCTCAGTAGATCGGGAAGTGAGCGAACACATACCGGCGTTCGCTCACTTCTCGATCCTGTCACGGCTCTCTGCCGTGACAGGGGAGGGACTGGATTCCCTCCTCCCCGCTCTGATCCGCCAGCGCTGACTGGCGGAACGGACGAGGGAGGGGGCGGGTACAGCTTGCTCTGCTTCTAGATAGGCAAAGCCAGCTGTCACTCACGCAGCTGGGCGGATTCAGACTTAATTGTCGGAATCCGCTTCAGCTGCGGCGTCTCAGTATACCGCGAGCTGGAGCTGGAGCTAGCGGTATACTGAGCTTAGGGTGACGGGAGGACGCTAGTTTGTGTCCTCCCATTACCCTAAGGAGAACTATGGGGAAAAGCCCTAACCCCATAGTTCTCCTTTTAACTTTGCTTCTTAACTGAAGAACAGAAAAGTCAGGTCCCTGGGCCGGCTGTGCTGTGGTGTGTGGCAGGGATGTTTGGACCCCATGTTAAAACAATCCGTATAGTCAGAGGCATGCACAACTGAAGTTAGAAATAAGCAAGGTTATTTTGGCACATATATGAGATACATTTCTTCATTATGAAACTGTTGGTAACATTATAAACTTCCTTTAACTGTGACTTATGGGTCACTTTTTTGGTTACTTCTCCGAGATGCTGCTATTTACCTAACCTAAATCTTTACTGACTTACCAGGTTTATGGAATGATGAAGTGTGGTGTTCTGTCATTTCTGGAATGAGCGCTGGTCCCTTAACAACTCTTTGGTTTGTTCCCCAACAGTTTGTTCTGGTTCCACAGAGTGATCAGTGGGCTTTCTGGTATCTCTATATATCATTGCCCTCCCACTGATTCCCAAACAAAAATCAACCCTAGGTAGAGTTACCTGGTGTTAGGCCAGCATGTACCTCCTACCTCAGAAATGAATGATTTTACTCTCATGTGTGTCACACAGACTGTTCACAAGTTGATCACCAATTTGCTGTAGAAAGCAGTCACAAGCTGCGTAAAAAACATGCCCCCTTCTAGCATGTGGAATGGTACGAAGATTGCTCCTTGTGTGCAAGCAGTGGCCTCTCTGTAGAGGTCCAACATGCCCCCTACTGAGTTTGACCTATAGCTTGGCAGTCAGCAAAACTCACACTCCCTATTAATTTAACTTATCAAGCTCTGACTCATAAGGGTGTGTGTCTCTACAGAGACACCATTGCTTCCGCACATAGACAAAGGGTCTTCTATGTAGCATGCTGACAGAGGACACGCTTTTCAGGCTATGGCTGCTTTCTGAAAGAAAAACAAACTGGAAGACTTTTGTTTTAATGCATCTGTCATGTATTTAAACAATTTAGAATGGAAACTCATTTGGGCTGTAACAACTGTATAAACCAGTGGTGCAACATGATCTGGATCAGTTGTTCTCAACCACTGGGCCTCAGCCTGCTGGGCCACAGCTTCTTGTCTCCTTCGACAGGTAGAGTCTAGACAGCTGGCCATCTTTTCCTTGCTCCACTTCCTGCTAACAAAAATCCTTTGCATGTTCAGTCTGACCCAAACGCCGATCCCCCTCCACAATTACATCACACCGATAAAGCACAAAGCATCAGAGTACTGAAGCCATTTTGGCAGCATGACAAGCAACTTCTATATTCATCAAGATAGGTCTGCAATGGTAGCTTCTGAACTTCATTACATGTTTTCTTTAAACCAGAATTTATCAACCTTTTTTCAGTCACGGCATTGACAGCTATTAATTTAAAGGGGACAGTCTGCTGAACAGTTATACTATAAGCTGATGGTCGCTAAAAGTATGCAAAATCTCAAGGCACCCCAGTCTAAAATGTGAAACACATAAATATATATGCCTAGATCGGGGGTCTGATATGGATTTTAAGGGGGCACCCCATGCAAAGAAAACAAATAACCATATAGCGCTCCCTTCCTTTTAAATTCCCCCTACACTTCCCATCAGATGCCCCCCTTTACATCAGAGTCTTATTATCTGTGCCACAGTGTGGCTTTGGCATCATGACAAAGGATGTGGTGTTGTACAGGTCAGAATGCTCCTGGAGGTCCTGGATGCAGCTAGCTCTGGATGAGCATCATGCTTTTTTCCATAGTGCTGGTGGCTGGCTCGTCTGCACCATGAAAATGTATGACGCTGTGTACAAATTTACGGCACTCCTGACAAAGCCAGAAGGCTCCCCAGGGTGCCAGGGAACACTGGTTGAGGAAGACTGGGCTAGAGCATGCATTTAAGCTTGTTTAGTTTTCATGGTTACAGTTCTGCTTGTAGTAATTTTTGTCATTGTGTCTATTTTAATTACAATAACTCATATCGATACTGATTACTCCCTTTTTGATAAAGTTTAAATACATATTTTGCATCAAATACATATGCATTCTCTAAATATAAATGTTTTTTTTATTTTTGTTAGTTTTGGGGCATGTATGTTTTTGGAAGAATTACTAGGCCCTGGTCTTGCATCGGTTGAGAACCACCTGTCTAGATGGCACTACCGACTAAAAGCAAGTGTTGGGCGTGAAGGATTCATATGCTACTAATTGAAACTTTCCTTTTAATGTTTGCTTGGGAAACAGAGTAAAACCTCTCCCACCATACGTTAGGAGAAAGGTCTGCCATGGCTTTTTTATCAGATACATATTGATGCCCTTTTTTTAATTTAATTTTTTTTATATAAAGAACTACATGCAACGATCTCTAATGAAAAAAAGTGAGTGATTTTATCCCTTTTGATACTTATATATGTCTTTTTTTCTTGTTATCTTCTACAGCTCTCCAGTGGTAATCTATTATATGAAACCTATTACAAGCAAGTAAGTGTGTTTTTAGGGTTTTAAAACATGAACTCCAATACGGATAGTAAATGACCACTTCCCCACCCACATGGGTAGAAAGTGCTGAGCTTGATGTATGAGTATTTCTGAAATCATAGTTGCATCACATGTTACATGATTCATTTATTTACCCCTGAAATAGAAATGATAGTTTTCTTCTTAATTCTTATTTTAATTTCTTACAGAATTGGAAGAGTAAAAAGTACTCTTCCCATTACTTAGAGCCAGCATGTGACACTGCAGGTGTCTCATGCCAGCTCTATAGATCTAGCACTGAGTGATCATGTGACCACTGATCACTCAGCTCACAGTCTTCTCCCTGCAGAGAGTAGTGACTATCGGCCAACGCTTCCTGCAGGGATTCCACCTCCCCTCTCTCTGTTCCTCCAGTGCTCATTGGAGGGACAGACAGAGGAGGGGGTGGGCACAGCTGACTCTGGCTCTATAGAGGCAGAGCCAGCTGTCAATCAAGCAGTGGGGTGGATCCCAGCAATATTGTCAGGATTTTTCCCGTCTGCAGTGTGGCTCTGTGCTATCAGCATATAGCAAGCAGTAGCCCACTAGATGCTGACTTTGGGTGACAGTAGGATACTCCTTTGACCTAAAAGAGGACTAAAGCTAACAAAAAAAAAAAAAGTTTGGCTTTAGTTCTCTTTTTAAAGCTGAACTCCAGGTATAAGTATTATGCATACTTTGTTCCAGCTTGGACCAATGTAATTTTGTATATGATATACCTAGAAGGGCCACAGAAACCTGTAGAGCACTGTAGTAGCCGGAGCACCCGAAGTGCTTAACAGCAATCTTCGAGATCCTGTATGGCATTGAGCTGAACAGATTCCCCTCTGCTCTCAAAAAACACAGGGATCTCGGTGTCATCACAGTGATGTCAAGATGACATCACGATCAGCCCCTCATCCAATCAGGGAACACCATGTAAAAATAAAAGGTATTTTCTGGATGGCCACTGTCCTGAGTGGGTGACCCCCTGTGACAGCCAAGCAACTAGTGATTTCAGAAAGGGAGTGAAGGTAGCCATCATATTTTTCAAGATAGAAGTTAAAATAAAATTGTCATTATGTTTTGTATAAAGCTGAACATAACCTCTTCCTGCCATTACCAACTGTACTAGACAAAAAGAGATTAAAGTTGGCTAGGTATAGCATGCTGTAGTGCCACCAACATGTTAAATAATGCTCCTGCCATTTTTACTGTGATAATTGTGAAACACAATGGTGTCTTACCTCATTGTTCTCTACATCACTGCATTTATATGATGGAAAAATGAGCATCTATTACCTTCAGTGTAAACAGCTGGTTAAAACAATCAGTAGATTCAGAAATATAGGTAGTTGTAGTCTGCACTTTTTCTGTAAAGATAGAGGTTGGCTTTTGGTTTACATGGAACATTAGCCTCCTTTTATATCTCTGGATCTGCTCTTCATTTTGACTTTGCAGTTTAGTAGTGGGTCACCTCCTGATTTATTTTAAATTTTTTTGGCGCCCAGTTTGTGAAGGGTTTATGTTTAACCACTTGCTGTCCGGAGCAATTTCTTACAATTTGCGCACACATGATAAAATATAAATTTTTGACTAGAAAACGGCTCCAGACCCCCAAACAATGATATATGTTCTGACAGCAGAGACCCTGTAGAATAAAGAATTCTATTTTTTTTTATGTTGCATGGTATTTGCGCAAATGTTCATCAAACCAGTATTTTTAGGAAAAAATAAACTAATTTAAAATTTAGTGCCCAGAAACATACTATAATACCGAATTGTTTTAGTAAAATATAAAAGATGAGGTCACGTCGGATAATTAGATACCACACATGTCAAGCCTTAAAATTGCGTTTGCCAAAAATTTAAATACCCCAAATTTCCCGTAGAGTACTTTAAACGCTTTTTATCAGTTTAGTGCCAACAGTGATTGATGGCCATAGAATTATTGCTCTCACTGTGACGTTCACGGTGATATGTAACTTGTGTAGCACAGTTGTCGCTTTTGCACATGGCGCACCAACGCGCGTGTATGTGCGTGGACGTGGGGGGCGGCGGGGGGACTTTAAAAAAAATGTCTTTGCATTTTTCTTCTCTTTTTATGTTACTTTAATTTTTACTTTTTTTTTTAATGCTATTTTGCTATCACATAGGGGGCTACCAAGCCCCCTATGTAATAGCAGGGTGTGACAGGTCCTCTTTATAGAGACATCAGGGATCTTTCAGACCCCTAATGTCACCTAGGGACCCCAAAGAAGCTGAGGAAGCAGAGATCTGCTTCCCCAGCTTCTTCTCCTCCTTTACTCCACATCACTTCCGGGTCCAGTGATCTGAGGAGAGATTAGCGCAGGAACAAACGATTTGGCGGCTGTATAGATGCTGGATCGCTTGTATATTAACGGCCATTGCTGGCTGTTAACAATGATACCAAGAACACTGCTGCTGCAGCAGCCGTGTTCTTCTTTTAACCACTTCTGCGGGCCACCGTCTATACACTTATTGCGGCCCGGAAGTGGTTAAGATGTTGCAGTTGTCTTTACCAGGATTCGGTAACCTATTCAATTGTATCAACATTCGAAAAGCAGTGGTATGGCCATGTTTATTGTGCTCCGCTGGCTCTGGGAGTCTGAAGCTCGTAAAGCATAATAAAAGCTTCTCCTCCATTCACCAAGATCTCTTTCCTGTGTTAAACCGAGATAATTCTGGGAACTACGGCAAGCTCCACACTGCAGCCTGCATTTTTGAATGGACCAAAAATGTGGGCTGTTGTGTGCATAGCCCTGCAGAGCTGTCACAGACACCTCTGGGCCTGGTACTAATGTTCAGGAACTGGGTGGACTGGCTCCCAATCACATGATCACAGATAGAACCAGTGATTGGCTATCACAGTGATCACTGGCTGTAGAACCCTCCCAATCTCTTTCTCCTCTTACAAGCGAAAGAGATACATTGAAGGCGATTTACTAAGACTGGAGCATTCTGAATAGTTGTGCAGGACAACCAATCAGTTTCTAGCTTTCATTTCCTATGCTGAACTAAACAAGCTGATCGGTTACTATCCACAGCTGCTCCAGATTCTGTCTGCTCCAGTTTTAGTAAATTCCGCACATTTTTTTCCTCCTTAGAAGGGAACAATGTAACCAGAAAAAGTCTGTTTTAATAAACAAAAGTGTTAGTTCAGGACCTGATCTAGGTCAACGTTAGGGTTAGTGTCCATGTGTAGGATTAAAAAAAGAAAAAGTACAGTATTGTTTATTTTGTATATCTTTTTTTCTGTTGGGTCACGGCAAAAAATATACAGCTAAAATGTAAAAATATATTATCACCAAATGAAGGCCCAAATAAACTAGGTGCTGGATACAGAAAATATAAGTGTACAGTACTACTAACACATGCCATAGTTGCAAATCTGGGTTCAGGGGATTTTACCTTCACCATTAGGAGTTTAAGAATGTGAGCCCTAAAACATAGGTAGGTTCTGCTTAAAAAGCTACATGTGGAAGGTAGTAACACTTGTATACAGTTCAGTGCTACAAAATATACTCTTAACACTCCCCTGCACTGTACCACTTGGCTTGAATTTGATACATTTGTCACTAAATGAATCTAACTTTTCTTGTAAAGGAGGGTACGCTTTACAGAGCGTTCCTACGCTCTGTAAAACGCTCAACATGTGAAAACTAATGATTGCCTATGGGCGCATATTCGATACGCCTAGGTGTGAACCCAGCCTTACAGAATTGTGGTCCTGTCTTATCTTGTTATTAGCACGACTTTGGAATTGTTCTAGTCATTTCTATTCTACAGGTGGATCCATCTCATACTGGCAGGGTAGGACCATCAGAAGCAGCACTCTTCCTGAAAAAGTCTGCACTTTCAGATGTTGTCCTTGGAAAGGTAAATAAGCCCATATTTTCTTTACGTAAGGACATGCATACATTTATTTTCTGCTGCCCTGTAGTTATGATTTGGAACACGACAAACATAGAGGGATTTTTGAAGATGATTCTTGTGTGGCACCTTATCAATTTGTTTAGTCCAACCAGGGGTACAAGGAGTAGTCTTATTGGTCAAAGCAGTCAATGCATGAAGCATTATTACCAGAATGCCTTAGCATCTTCATAAATGTGGTTTTACAACCAGAGCAACATTGATAAATGATCTAATAATAACCAATTTTGGTCAATGTCTCTGTCACTGCGTATGTTACGATCTGGTGGTCACATTAACCTCCCATGTGTTATGCTTAAAAGAGAAGTATGGGGTAAGCGTTTTTTCCCATAGTTCTCTTTAGGGCCACGGGAGGACATATACTAGCGTCCTCCCATGACCCAAAGCTCAGTATATTGCGAGCTACAGCTCACAGTATACTGGAACTGCCACAGTCAGGACGGATCCCGACATAACTGTTGAGATTCACCCAGCTGCATGAGTGACTGCTGGCTCTGCCTATCTAGAGGCAGAGCCAGCTGTGTCCTCCCCTGTCCGTTCCGCCAGTCAGCGCTGGAGGATCGGAGCGGGGCATCCCTGCAGGGAGACGTGAGTGACAGTCACAACTCTCTGCAGGGACATGATCGAGAAGTGAGCGAGTGACGGTATGTGTTCGCCTCCTTCCCGATCTATTGAGGCAACGTATTACATTTTCATTGTCACACGCCGGCTTGAACTATGACGATGGGTGATTTTCACTCACCTCATAGTTCTCCTTTTAATTTCTGTTAGCAAGTCAACATCCTCATCCCTGTGCTGGTAGTTTATGGCATTCATTCTAACAAAAAGAACAAAAATGTAAAATGTTTGCAGTTTATGCAGTCCTTGCATATAGTGGCTCCATTATTTATTTATTTATTTATTTATGTTTTCTTCAGGCTTTATTTTTACCTGATAGCAACAAACTACCAGGCCTAGGGTGACTGCACTCAAACACTGTACAGTATTCACATAGGATCAGCGTTGTCACCCTCCTTAGACCCACAACATAGGGGAAGGTGTTCTGCAGCTCCCGACACACTTTTTTGATAACGTTGTTTGAGATAAAACTGCAGAGTGCACAGGCCTCAGGACAGAACTGGATTTCTGGCAGCATCAACAAGTATATATTTATTTTATTTTTTGCACTAATAAAGACCAAATGGGAGCAAAAGGGAGCAGTTCAATATTAGAGTTTACATATACTTTAAAGCAGCCTTTCTCAGCCAGGTGCCGTGGCACACTGAGTTGCATTCTGGTTCGGTCAGGGATGCCTTCATATCAGCCCCGATGCTGGCGACGTACACTGTACGTCGTCAGTCACGAAGGGGTTAAAGAAAACCATTGCAGACCTATCTTGATGAATATACAAGTTGCCCGTCATGCTGCTAAAATGGCTTCAGTACTCTCTAAATCACAGACTCGAGTATGCAGATTAGCATCTGACTTCACTCTGGCTCTCCTGATTTAGTTGTTTGTTTCAGGTTATCGTCTCAGAGTATTAAAGCCAGAGACAGCCAGGTTAATAGTCGTTTCAGAGGGAAGTCAGGAATGGCAATCTCTCATTTCCTCTCAGTACAGGTTAGCTTTAATTACCATACGAGATTCAGTTGCACAATTAATTTGTTGATTCTTAGTTTTTTTCCCCCCGTAAAAGTTGCAATAATGCTTTTATCAGAAACAGTCTCTCTTGTAAAGTGTTTGAACTAGTCCTCAACTATTTTTCATAGTGACATGCACAAGTAAAAAGGGATAAAGTCTCTTTTTGGTCTATGAATTCTACTCAATACCTCCTCATACATGAGCTTAATTTTTAATCCATTAATAAAGATTTTTAATAAAGATAATTATTTACTGACATTTGACAGTTTGACGTACTGTACAATATGCCATGTGTATTGTTTAAATGTCTGGTTCTCTTTCAAAGATTTGCAACTAGGTTACACATTTGAAATCCTTTTTCCATTTATCTTGGGGTAAGGGGGTTTAGGAAACCAGGAATAAGCTAAAGTTTGCAATTTCTGTATTTTTCTCTCCTTAATTATTCCTATGTATTTCTGTTCATTTTTAGATTTGGGACCTGGCTGATCCAGAGGGAAAGGGTTACCTGGACAAACAGGTATAAAGATTTGTTTCCTTTTTGAAGTTTTATCTATATTTATGTATTTATTTAATGTTTTAGTTTATTCTATTTAATTTATATTTGTAAGTTGAATATATCAAATAGTATCTGTGTTTTTTTTTTTTTTTATTACAGGGATTTTTTTTTGCTTTGC